ATCATTTCCCAGCAGCCACCACACCAGAGGGTTGGGAACCAATTAAGGACAGATCTATGACATGTTTAGCATCTGTGAAAGTTACATGTACGAGTTCTCATTTCCCCTTCTGTCCAAATCTGATAGATGGACACAGCTATGGTCCTGATCCTATCACAGAATTGTTTTGTCTTTAAGCCATTTAACCTAAAAATACTTTGGGCAGAAAAAGGCCCTAGCTCAAGGGCTGAGCCCTCTGTGTCCTCCAGCAGAGCAGCAGTTAAAGTGGATCACAGAGACTCATCTGTTCTGGAGCTGATGGAGGGAAAAGGCCACAGAAACCCATCAGACAGACAGGAAACAGAGAGCTGCTGCTGGACACTGGGCAGGTCTCAGCCGCTGAGCAGAGTCCTGAAAACATCTGAGGAAAGCTGCAGTTCCTCCTACTGCAGGTTTCAACACTTGATGGTGTATTGTAGTTTTTGTAGGTATGACTACTACATCTGGTTGTATTGGATGATACACAATGCTCAATCAATAAGCTTTGGAACTGTTACAGGATCACATGGTGCACAGGCTCCCCCACTTACGTGTGCACGTTTGGACTTTGATGTCATTTGAATGTCCCCCTAATAGGAGTAAAACATCTCTATTCCACTGCATGCAGACATTATCAATGCTGTAGATGCCAGTAAAATGCAGCTTTCTATAATATGAAGGTAAATGGACATTAGGTTCAAATTCTTACAGTAAAACTCTAACTTAGAGAGTTTAGATTGTAAGTCAAACTTGTGTCTTATTAGTAACGCAGAACAGTTCCGCTTCTAGCTGTACAAGCCTCCCCTAAAGCAATCCACAGTGTCAATAGGTTGAGAAGGAGGATGCACATCAGCTGGTGTCCAGCTCAGACTGCCCTGCAGAAAGAATATAAAGTCCCAGTTCAACAGTCAGAAGGAAATGACCAGCCTCACAATACATTGTTAGAAAAACAAAACTTTAATAATAAAACCACGAAAAGTAGCAGAGCCCTTTCCTCACAAACTGCCCCCGTTTCCCTTTGTGTGACTTCCCTGTGACAGGCTGAGGGTTGACATGGTTCACTACGTAAAGATAACGCATCAGTGCAAGTTGGATGACCTCAAATGAATTAGTCCTGAATTGTGGTACTTTAGGACCTCCCTGCCTTTGTTTGTGGTTATGTAAATCTAAAAGTCAGAATCGAGGAGAGCGTTCCCGTGTGAGCTGTGCTTCCAGAGCCGTGCGTGACACGGTTGGAACTGCCGGAGCGAGCGTATGCCCGCTCCTCAGAGAGCCGGACACCGCTTTAGCCGCAGCTCAGCCCATGACCCCACAGTCCAGAACAGCAGAAGGAAACCCAGCAAGCTTCTCTGGTCACACGCCACCTCATCAGAGCTCCTCGTGTCTCCTCGTTAAATCTTCCCCGTAATTGGTGGCCTGACTGCCCACAAACATGTTCCAGTTGGCCAGAATCTCCTTCTTGGTGATTTTCCCGTCCTGATGTTTGATGAGCAGATTAGACCCCAGATTGGTTCATTGAATTCAGAAAATCAGGAGAATGGAGAAGAGAAGATCAGCAAAAGAAATCGAGACAGAGAGGAGACAGATGATTAGAATTACCTCAGAATTAATCCTGTGGGGTCATGCACAGAGGCATCTGCCTTTGGGCTGCCAGGGACCCTGACCCTGCCCAGCTCCCACACCCACTGCCGTGGCCTAAAGGTTCCTTTTTGATAAGGAAACGGCTACAGCCTGCAGGCTGTGGGGGCTCAGTGGGCCTGGCAGCCTGGGCCTGTAGGTGCAGGGCCTGGGCCTTTAGGTGCAGGGCCTGGACCGGGTGCCAGTACCTTATCGCTGTCCGTCTCGTGGATCAGGTGTTTGGCCTCGTTGTCGGCATGGTCGACCTCTCCCGGTAGAATCCAGTGGGCCACTTCACCAGCGTCCAGGGTGCCGTCCTGCACAAACCAGAGCAGCCAGCCATGAGTGGGAGCGGATCCCGCTGATGTGGGCGGGGCCTCCCGGCGGAGCCAGCTCTGGAGCACGACTCGGGACTATCTCATGTGTTTGTCAGCTTTTGACAAGAAAACAAGGCTGCTTGCATTTGAGCCGACTCAGCATCCCTGCAGGTGGTGGGCAGACACATCTCACACTGGAGGAGCTCTTACCTTGTTGGTGTCTCTGAATTCTAAGAAATGCTTCCTCTCGGTTTGGACCCAGTCCGGCTCGCTCTCCCCCTCCTCCGGTGTGAACATGTCCCCTGTGGGCAGGACATCAGCGGGTCAGTCCTCACAGGCCCGGCGGCCGGCTACAGAGGGGCAGGAACCTACCGATGTATTCATCCACATTGATCTTCCCATCGCCGTCCTTATCGATGTCTTCCACAGTTTCCTGATGAGAGAAGGTTCAGTTCCAGGATCGCCCCCCCCTGCCCCCCCCCCCAGCAGCACCCCCCCGGCTCTGACGGCGCTCTGCCTGCAGGCGAGGAGTTCGAGGACGTGGAGGACAAGGACACCTACAGGTCCATGCTGCGGCGGGACCAGAGGCGCTTCAGGGCGGCTGACCGGGACGGAGACGGGCTGGCCACGCGCCAGGAGTTCACCGCCTTCCTGCA